CTGTGATTTTTTTTTCCTTGCTGTGTCACATTTACACAAAGAATATGCACATAAATGGGCACATATCACAAAGTCAAAGAGTTATTAAGCACAGGACACAAATGAAGAACAGCACTTGCTAACTTTCTAGTCATTAGCACACCAAAGACCGATGTGTCTACAGCTTTGGTTAGATGTGTCCTCTGAACAACCTGGCCTTGTAGGACATATTAACTGGTTTTTTAAGCTTGTCCTAAGACTCATTTGATCCATTGGGAAAGAGTACATTGTTTTGTTTTTTTTTTTGAATGCTGCTTTTTAAAAATCATGCTTAAAAATAACGTATATCTTTAAGATCTCTTTATTATATTTGTGCCTGTTCTTTTTGGCTGTACAGTGTAGCTACTAAGCATATGTGGTGGATCATTTACACAGCTGTTTCATGCATCCCCCCCCCCCCCACCTTCAAGAAAGTTGTAGTTCAATAGAAATACTTCTATATCTCATCTCTTGCCAGTTCTGTCACCAATAAATGTAGGATTTCACTCAAAGCTGAGGGAAACCTTGAGCTCCCTCTGCAGGTATAGTGCTGCCAAACTGAAAAGTGGATTCCGTTGTGTTATCTTTATTTTACTAATTCATTTATATTCTGTCTTTCTCCCACTGAAGGAACTCAAGGCAATTTATGAAAATTTAAATACAGATTGAGTCTTCCTTTTCCAAAATTCCTAAATCCAAAATACTCCAAAAATTATTTTTTTCATGGTTGGCAGAGGGAATGACACCTTTGCCTTCTGATGGTTCAGTGTACACAAACCTTATTTCATGCACAAAGTTATTAAAAATATTGTATGAAATTACTTTCATGCTATGTGCACAGGGTGTACAGTTGGCCCTCCATTTTCATGGGTGATCCGTTCTGGACCCCCCTGTGAAAATGGAGATTCATGAACATTCAAGCCCTATAGACTTAAATGAGGTCTGCAGATGCGCTCCATTGTTTTTAACTGAGGTTGCCTCTCCATGAATATATAAAACCTCAGACATGAAGTCTGCGAGAATGGAGGGCCAACTATATATGAAACATAAAGGAGTTTTGTGTTTAGATTTGGGTCCCATCTCCCAGATTATGTACATATATGCAAATACAAATATTCCAAAATCCCTCCCCCCCAAAAAAAATAAAAATAAAATTTGAAATCCAAAGCACTTCTGGTCTCAAGCACTTTTGATGAGAGATACTCAACCTGGATAATTAAAAACATTTGTTACAATAAACAAGAACATTAAAATTTGTTAGAAAGCGGTTAACCCATAGAATTAGCCCCCTTTAAAGGAGATTCTTTAAAGGCACAAGATAAAAATCAGTTCAAAAATGCACCATTAACACAGCACACAATTAAAATCCTTGCAATGAATTCCTAAAGATGTCAGAACATGGAGGTTTTCACTTACGAACAGGAGGACAGCAAGGATGGAGCCAGCCTAGTCACCCCAGGTGTGTGTGTGTTTGTGTGTGCGTGTCAGTGTGTGGATGATGGGTGTTGCAGTGATGCTCTTTGATACCCAGCAGAATCTCCAGGATAAGCTGGCTGCTGTGATCCACAGCTACTTTGTATTTCTTACCATCAACTAGCACAGCTTTTCTTCTTCAGGATCCTGTCTTCCTCAGTCAAGAAGACACATTGTAAAGTCCAAAAGCATAGTTTTATTAATGCATAAAAAAAGATAACTAAGTAAAATCCATTGTGATGAACTTGTCCAGTTCAGCCATGAAAGATAACATCTTTAACAATCCCAAAAGCTTAGGATCACAATTTGTTGCAGTTGAAAGTTAAGAAGTTAAGAAGTTACAGATCCATGTTTCCAGATCCAGGAGTTACATTG